TATCTATCTATCTGTATCTATTACAAGATAGATAGATAGATAGATAGATAGATAGATAGATAGATAGATAGATAGATAGATAGATTAACTAAAACCAGTATCATATACAGAGAATATATGCTTAACATAGCTACACTGCACGTTTGTATTACAAGTCAAGAAAATATAGCCAGAGGTATGTGTTGCATTGTAATTGCATAATGGAATTAACTGTACATTGAATATTTATATATATAAAAGTATAAACACACATATTCAATGTACAGGTATGCAGAGTAAGTAGGCCTATGTAATAATGGAGGGATATTGAGATACCACAGTACAATGATTTGTACTGTAATACTTACTGTCAGAGCCAAATAATATTGTGATAATTATAATTAATAATAATTAAATTAATAAGATTAAAACCTTAAACCTTAAAAGCCTTGTGTGTCACAAGCCACGCAATCAAGAGTTTGGTATATTGCTATGGGCTCTTAATCCCTGTTCCCTTAAATAGTGCTCTGGCCATGCCAGAGCATACACACACACACACACACACACACACACACAAACAGCCTCCCCCATAACCCTTTACAATGAAAGTAGGTCAGTGTCTCTACGCACGCCCACAACCCCCACCCCCTTGAGAAAAAAAAAACAACACAGCCAGGAACAGTCAGTCAGTGTCAAAACTAAAGTGACTAATTATTGTTCATTTGGTTAATTGATTTGTAAGACAAAGGCTTCATGCTTAATTTTTTTTATTTTTTCAGTATGCACACAACTTTGCATGTGATCACTGATCAACAAAAGGGTATATGATAGCATAAAACTCCAGTTCAGGAGGAAGATGTGGGTGGGACAACAGTATTTCCTCCAGCTGGTCTTCCTGTTCTCCGACGTCGTCGTTTACTGAGTAGATTCTCACCTGATGACATAAAGATCAACATGAGCATTATCATGGTGTGTATATTTTAATACATGTGCAGATTCCAGCAGTATTGATCTTTTTTTTTCTCACTCTGATCTTGTTGAGTAAGCTCCTCTGTGTCAGTCTGATGTGCAGCAGCTTCTCCACAGTGCTGATTTCCAGGAAAGCCCAGATTCTCAGCTGCTCTAGACGCTCACACATCTTAACCAGTTCCAGCAGATCCTCATCCAGCGAGTCATTGCAGTTGCTCAGGTCCAGGGTCAAATGCTACAGACAGATAAGATACAGATTACCTACAACACTCATTCACATTGTTTTGAGGTTCTAATTGGATTGAAGTTAATTTGGTTCTTTGCCACAGCACTATTTCCTGCTGTTCTTTGCTCCCAACATAACTTGTAATTCAATATAACTACCTTAAAATGTGCTGTATAGACTTTAAAATATCCATAAAACTAATAACTAAAGTAAGTAAACTAATAATAAAAATCATCTGCCACTCTATTTAGAACACAGATAACAAATAGTGACAAAACACTGTTGTTGAATCCAGTTAATCCAGTAAACCAATAAAGCAATAGTAAACAAACTGTCCAATGACCTATTGGTGTGGCTATTTTTGCTTGCTTATCTTTATAATCAATCCCAGACAGATAGTTTTGGTGTCAGGATTCAAGATTTGGTAACCCAAAAAAATCGTACCAATACACTTACTGTCCTTTATCAGAGCTTTCAGTCGCATCTGAGCATGTCAGTGAGATGCGGTTCAAAGCGCTGGAAAAAGCCACTGTCAAGAATTCCATTTTGTGCCAAAAAATGTGTTCACTGGCATTCGGTGTGGTGAAAACAAACAGTTATATTTAAACTAGCATCTGTGTGGCTGTACTTAGGCACAGCGGTGCTTTGAGCTAATCAAATCAATCACAATGACAGTAAAGCTGAGGCTCATGGGAATGTCATTAGTTTTTGGGGCCATTTGGGCATAAACCAAAATATTGGACTAAGTCAAATTTTGACCTGATGATCGTGCTAATTGAAAAGTCAGAGGTTTGTCAAAAAAGTTAATTACAATAAATTCTGAGGAGGACATGAATTTGTTTACCCGTTTTCATGGCAATCAATCTAATAGTTGTTGAGAAAGAGGAATACCAGAGGATCAAAATTTAGTACAAATACATCCAGATTGAGATCATGCACAGGATATATGAAACTTTGACCTGCTGATGGCGCCAGAGAAAAAGTCACGGGATCACCAAAGGCATTAGAATTCACAATCTGAACAAAATTTCATAATAATCCACCCAGACCTGCCACTAAAAACACAAATGTCAACTCCAGTGGCACAAGAAGACAAGTCAGGGGGTCGTGAATGTCTGTACCAAATGTTATGGTAAGCCATCTAATGGTTATTGAGACATTTCACTTAAAAGCCAAAACTGGCAACGTGCTAGTGGCAATTAGGAAAGTCAAAGGATCACCAAAATCCGTAGGAGTCATCCTCTAGGAACTATGAATGTATGTTTGAAATTTCACAGCAATCCATTAAATAAATAGTACTCAATAATAATAATAATACTCAAGTCTGGAAGTGATAAACAGACAGACCAACTGATATTGTTAAAGAAGATCAGTACCTCCCAGATGTGATGACATGGAACATACAGAGAACTACTTTAAAGTTTTTATCTCCAAAATTCAGCAAATAAAAATAAAGTTTCATATGTTCTTCAGTTTAACACTATCTCTCTACACTTTGCAGTCTATAATAGTGCCTGCTCAGCACCCTGACCTCCAGACTGCTTCTGTATTGAGGCAGCATGTAACGGACGAGAGGCTTGCCGCTCCAGACTTCGTCAGGGGAGTAGAAAGCTGTCATGGTATATTCAGTCAGGGGAATCTCAGGCAGCAGTATCCTTGCAAGCCAGTTAGTGTTGATGACTTGGTCCACCGTAAGCTTGACTTTCAGGTCTGGGCAGCTTGATGTCAAAGTTGCCCATGAGCCACCACTCACAACCTTGACAGAGAGGATGAAGCAGAGACAGCAATGAACAAAGGAAACCTAAGGGGGGTTTTATTTTCACCAGTGGGATTTTATTTTTTTCTTCACTTTTTGCCATTTCAGCATGTGCTCACACCCAAGACTTTTACACTATTATCTTGCCAAAAGGAACATTTCACTTAGTGGATAAGTTGACGAAATGATTTCACTGTACGGATCATGCAGGTGTATGTGTGTGTCCTTGCACTCTGTTCCCCAAAGCTGAACCTTCGGTGCCATCGCACTTCAGCCAACTGTTTTTGTTGAGGATAGTCCAGTAATTACATTTATTTCATGCTTACCTGTCGATGGGGCTCATTCAAAGTGCAGTACAGTGAAAATGTTTGCAAGGTGTTCCCATCTCTGCTTGAGCTTCTCCATTCCCTGCGTCTGTGCTGGAGAACCGCTAGCAGCTCATCTGACAGGCAGGCGTAACTCAGGTTTAGGTTGGTGAGGCCTTGCAGGCGGGACATCGTAAGCTGCAAGGTGGCGTTACGGTGGGCGTGCACAGAAGCAGAAAAGAATCCCTTTATGTCCAGAGACAAGATATAGCACCGGGGGTAGTGGCGCCTCTGAGAGTATGACAGGGCAGAGAGCAGGTCCAGACCCTAGAGGTTAAAGGTTCAGGAATCAGAAACAGACCAGATATTTAAAAACTGCAATTAATATGGTTGTTACTGAATACAAGTTAATGGTGGCTGTTTAAATATTCACAATGCACATTACATTGTCACAATAGTATCACATTTCTACTTTCAACACAACCCTCAAAAAATTATTTTCTAATTATTAAAAGATTAAACATTACTAAGTAGAGGTGTAAATCGTGAATCACTGCTGATTTAAATCCTTTAGATTAGTTCAGTTAAAAGGTTTTTAGTTATGTAGTTCTTTTTTTTACACCTAGAAATCATATTATCACACTACAACCCCAAAGTCCTAAAATATTATACTAATTTATATATTACTTTATGCAGAAGATGATAAATTATACACAGATTATGTTAATGTAAAAAACATTTTCAGGACTTTGGGGTGCAGTTGGTGTAGAAGGAGTGGCATGTTAGATTTAAGGTGGACGTGCACAGAATCAGGTACCAATCCCTTCAAGACCAAAGAAGAGCTGTAGCAGTGTGACTTTAGGGATCTGAAGTGAAATCATTCAGAAGACTGTCACGAATTCAGGTCTTGAGTTCTGAGTACGTTCAGTCTGTTGCTGATTCGAACAGCACAAATCTAGGCTGAAACGAACACTATTTATAAGGTTAGTAGCTCAACAAACAACGTATCTGTAACAGGGCTATTGCATCTTGATTGTGTCTGTGGATATTACTGAATTTCTGCAAGTTTTTTTCCTGATTGTAACACAATGTAAATAATGAATGAGCTGTCAGTGGCACTGTCAGTCAACAGGGAGGAGATCTTCACTGTAAACTGATGATTCAGTACACTGACACACCTCAAGTCCCAGACCTTAGCTGATGAGATCTGACTTATCTTTTCATTACCACTGGCATCTTGGTGAAGCACCCATGGCTGATACATTACATTTTGACTGGTGTTGCACTCACATGATGCATGCAGTTTCGCATCCCGCTCAGACAGAGAGAGGTGAGCTTTGAGGATCCTCTGCGAAGGAAGAGAATCAGGCAGTGTACTAAAGAGTTTCTGAGCCCTAAAGTCCAGGAGGTCCTATCCAACTCCAGCCTTACGATGGACAAATGCTGCAGGGGGGCATTTACTCTGTGGAGACAAAACAATGCTCAGTTTGGGGAGTTGTCAGTTACAGTGTAAAAGGGGATTATTGAGGTGCTGAATTGTGTGTTTGGTGAACTACACTCCTTTACCTGGTCAGCTCAGACAACAACCCGCTGATGGCTAGCTCCAGTCGCCGGGCTACTAAGCACCTACGTGGAGGACACACACACACCTCCAGCCTCTGCAGGTAGACTCCCAGAGAACGGGCATAGGCTAAAGCAGAGCAGTATTCAGACTGCTTGTATTTAGACAGTCGTCCATTGAAGTGGAAGAAACGGGAGCGCCAGAGAGAAGGAGAGCGCATGACACGGTGCCAGTAATGGCATACCAGGTCTGCACGACAGCGATCAGTGTCAGAAAGAAAGCCAAACACTTGCCTCAAACACACATCAGGAAGTGACCCCCAGCCGCTCTCCCCCTCTGAGCCACACTTATAACCTTCATCACTGAGATCTGAATCCTCTTCTTCCATCTCTTCTACGCTGTCCTCATCATCTCCAGCAAAACCATCCTCCTGACTGCAGTTTTCTCTGTTTCGAAGTGGGACAAACTCCTCATCCATTTTTGTTTGAATAATTCCAGAGAGTATGGTTAAGTGTTGGATTTCAAGAGGGGCTGCTATAGCCTGTATTATCACTGGAGCTGTCAATAAATACAGCTGTCTTTGTGAGTGGCTAATTCCACTTTAGATTTTAGTGATATTTCCAAAATATGACCACCACAGAATGTTCTATTGGGTTCTATTGTGGCCTCACAAGCATTCAGTTCTGAGTTCAGTTCCCCATTCAGTTCAATTCAAAATACTTTATTTGAATTGAGTTGATATCATTGAATTGTATCTGGTTTGCAAACATAAAAACACAAATAAATTAATTGACACCTACCAACAGTTCGTACCACTTTCTCATAAGGCCCATTTTATAAAGGGTTTATACATTGTAACAAATTGCTTTATTAAAAGTTAAAAACGTAATTTATTAATGTTTTATATTGTTACAACTCATTCAGAATATCAGCGAAGGTTGCCAGGTTGACTGGTTTCGTTGTTGGACTGTACTTTTCTTTTAAACTTCTTTTAAAGAGAGTGGGCCTGTGCAATATTTTTCTAATAAAATGGAAAGCAAAGGGCAGCTCTCAGAAAAGTAGAGGTTACACGAACAAAAGTCCAAACTTATAAGGAGCCAGAGATCCCTAGAAACCCTTCCCTCCCCACCTACACAGACATGTCATGCTGTTGTGAAGCCACAAACAAACAAAAAAACAACAACCAGGAAGTAAGAAAAAACAAACAACACACAATAAAGGAGTGGACTGGGATTAGAAATCATGATACAATATTAGTAAATAATATGAATAGGGAAGTAGAACAAGCCTAGTGATGAAGTTGAAAAAAGACGCTATTGAGGTGCTTATTAACACTCCTTAGCTCATAAATGTTTATAACTGCAGACATGATGGATTTGCAATGGGATTACCAAATTCATTTTTACCATAAAGAAAGGATGGGATTTTTTTCTCAACCTGGCAACCCCAAATATGTTCTTTAACGGCTCATAATTAATGTAAAAAACATGACTTAATAACTATTAATAAAGCCATTATTTACAACTTCTAAGTCCTTTATGAAGGGCACCTTATACCATGTTTTAAAACAATTACAAAATAAAGAAAACAGACTGATTTTGTACACATCCTGTTTATTTGTATTTGTAACACATCGTTAAAAATATCACAGAAATTAAACATAAAACGAAATAAGAAATGAGCATGGCTAAGCTTGGGTGTTAACATATAGTTGTTACTAGCAGAGACAGATATTGCACATAACTTTTAGGTGCAAAGTATTTCCTGAGAGCATGAATACACAGAGTAGACAGCATTATTTTTTACTGATGACGACTCCATTTACTTCTTTGAGTTCCTCAGCCCTTCAAACAGTAGACACTTGGCCTGTGCAGGGAGAAAAAAAACAGACAGAGGCTCAGTAGTAAACAAGAGTGACATCCTGGAAGCTGTGGTATGTTTGGTGGAAACTGTGAGCTTGTCTCTATTTATGTCTGTGTGTGTTTACACACAAGTGCCTGTGCCAACCTCATGCCAACGCAGTGTGTCAGGAGGCAGCCCCAGATGGCAATGAGGGCAGGTGTGCGTCTGATCAGGCATTTCCTGGTTTCTTTGCCCCCAGCAGGGCCCCTCGCTGCCCCACAGAGGGCGACATGGGGAGTGGGAGGACCAAGCTACACCAAAGTGGGGTCGAGGGTCTGTCTGGTAGCTCACTTTCTGGCCACTAGAGGGCAGTGGTGACAAAGGATCAGAGTCTTCCTGCAACACAGCAACAGGCGAGAGTTGTTACCATAATGGAAAAGTCTGCCCTAAAATAGAACTGTGCAGGGCATTTTACAGCACAGCTTTGAGACGATGAACAATAGTGATTTTACTGGGATATACTGAGCTCATAACAGCCTGCCCTACATTCAGAGGATAATATATAATAATGTCTCAGTGGACCAACTCCAAAAAGTGTTACTGTCATCATGTATTCAAGTTTTGATACTCAGCATTCCAGCTTAAAGTCTCTTTTTGTAGTTATTGAGGATGGTTAAGCAAATTATTTGACTTAAGCAGTGGGAAAATTAGCTTTAAAAGAAGGCGCAAATGAAAAGATTATCATAATGACATTCCTTCTGGTTCTCTGTTAAGTCATTCCTTAAATGGCGAAGCTTTGACAATTGTATGTTTTTCTGCACTGAATGCATACCACATTTCAACCACTGACAGTATAGTATTTATACTTTATGTTCCACAATTAGTATAATTTACTGTCAGTTGCAGTCTTGTCACTTATCACTTATAGAATTTTATAACTTATTGTTGTTGTATTTTCTTAAAACAATTAACTCCAGCTGACAGACGCGCTACAAGACTAAGTGACATTCTAAGTATTATGGATCTGTATAAATGAACATTTCAATTTTATTACTGTGAAAAAAACACCACACAGACACAATGATCGCCCCATCGACATCAGAACAGAAGAAACTCTACACATATCCCGTCGCAGACTGAAACACATCTGTTCAGACTGCACTGTGGTCTATTATAAAAAAAATAACTCTTTCTCCATCTCTTATTGTTTCTAAATGTTGCGCTCGTAGCAGTTCAGCATATTGAAGTTGATACTTGCATGATTCTTGCAATTGTTGGATTATATCGTCATGGTCGAATGCACTTGAATAAAAGTATCAGTTAAATAAATGTAATGTAACAAACAGTAAAAAAAAAAAAACTAAAAAACCCCACAAAGTTTATTATCATCAAAAAGACATACATTTCCTGTAAAACCTGTCTTCCTTTTACCACAGGAGCTCATGTATTGTTAAGGTAACATTGCTTTTTTTTTATTGCCCATCGACGTTAAAGTGGCCATCAATTCATTTTTTGTTTGTGCAATGAAATTAGAAAGAAAATTAGTTGAGTCAGAAATGTTAAAACCTGTTTAGGAGTTTCAGGACGATACTCTGAGTCAAGAGACCTCAGGCAATACCAGCACGGTTCAGACGGGCGATCTGTGAGACAACACAGAGAGAAACACAAAAGTACTTCACCACATATGAGCATGTGCTGGTTACAGACATAAATGGAGGCCCCACAGGTCCCATATGTCAGTCATTTGTGCATGTGTGTGACATACTCTGTGTGTTGGAAGGATGAGATGACACTGAAGGGGGGGTCAGCTCTTCCTCTGTTGGCAGGGGGGACAATGGGAGGCAGTCAGCATCGTCCTGTGTGTTTGTGGCTATCAGAGTCTCCTGTGGTAAGGTCTCTGTGTCGCTGATACATAGATCCTCCCTGGCCTTTATCAATCACAACAACCACAGAACACAGCAAAATCTTGAGCAAAAATTGGCATTGACGTCCCTCGCTTACTATTTTCTTTGAGTTAAATAAACTCTAATGGATGTAAATATACAGTATATATTATGATTGTAATATAAAAATATTAGTTAATTTTCCCTGTCAAATCTGACCTGACTGGCTTCTTCCTCTCCATTACAGGCCCCACTGCCCACTGTCTGGTCGGCCTCCTCTGGTTCCTGTAGGTTTTGAGGCCCGTTGCTGTCCTCACTGCAGTTCTGAGTCAGTGTGTCAACCTGGGTAGAAGTCGTCCCACTGAGGTTTGAGAGAGAAGCAACAGAATTAAAAAACATGCCCTCCTAACTGCCCAACTAGAAGGTTATCAGCCAATCAATCTTCAGCTGATTACACCACCGCAGCTTCTACTGTTACACTCAAGACCTGCACCTGATTAGACGTAAACATTCAGACTCTCCTTGCCTTACCTTTGGGTGCTCTCTTCCTGTTCCTCCCTCTCTCCCTCCATCCCTGCTCATTTGTCTCCCTCCCAGGGTGCCTGATGTGTTATTTCCTTTTAATCCCACCGTTCTTTGACTTTTTCTCTCTCTTCCTCTGCCCTGGGTGTCCTCCTCCTCTGTCTGCCTCTCTCTCGTCTCTCCTCCCTCTCTGTGTGTGAAACGGAAACTCCAGGCTTTCAATATTTGATGTGTCTGAATAGCTCACAAGCAGGTTTCTGTAAAGAGTAATCAGGTGAGGGCTCTGATGTCCCTGTGGTGGAGTCTGCTTTGCAAACAATCCTGTTACAGTAAGACCAACACTATAATACAAATTCTGCTCATTCAAAAGCTAGAAAACGTCTGACAGTTCCCTACAGTGCTCCCACAGTATCCATAAAATGTATCAAAAGCACAATTACCTTTGTCTTGTTGTTGATACAAATATTTATTCACAACATTTCATTAGTTTAAATTTCTTTTGGAACTCAAAAATCTCCCTTCTATATCAAGATTAATGATTAATGACCATCAGATTTTTAGCTTTCCCTAACTTTTCTGTTTTGTATATAATGTGTTTAATGGTTTAGAGCTGAAACGATTGGTTGACTTAGGCTGAAAATCAGTTTGAGGAACATTTAGAAATTGTATACTTAAAAAAA